AAAAAAAAAAGGGTTTTTTTTTTTTTTTTTTTTTTTTTTTTTTTTTTTGGCTCTGTTGGTTTAGAATTTTCACTGGCAAGAGAAACAAAAAAATGTTTTTCTACCCCCCTCCCCCAGAATTCATCATATAATTGCAGTTAGTGTTACTTTTTTCTCCTATCCCCATTTAAAATATAATAGTGCTATTTCCAATCATATTTTGAAAAAACAGCTAGCTTATACATATTAGGAAGGTAATATAGAAATATATTTTCATGGGACTGGGTAAAATAGCATTCTTTTTGCAAATTTAACTTAAATGTGACATTCATTTTGTAAGCATTGTCTCTCGGATCCTTTTTTTCAATGCAGTGAGTATATAAGCAAACTCCTCAGTCAGTAGCACATGTACAACTTGCTTGATGTTAAAGAGGACAAACTGAAAAAATGTAAGGACAGTGGAATTAATTTAAAATGGGACATGTCAAAAAAGAAATAAGGGTGGTCATGAAGAGTAGTTCTTGCCCACCTTTGGTTACATCTGTTGGTCATGCTTCAGGGTTTTGTTGGAGAAGATAGCTACTGAACCATTTCTGAAGGGCAGATCAAACTTTCATTTAAATTAGTTGAATTAAAAATACAGAAAGTTAAACACATGCTTTTATCTGTTTTGAGAGTCAGGAATTTGGTCTTAAATGAAGTCATAGAATCATAGAATCAATGAGTCTTAGGACACGCATCTGGTGCATCAGGTCCCAGAGCCTACTGAAAACGAATTGCCATTTTCTTTGCGTTAACTAAAGTCTTCTTTTGTATGATTTGTTTCCATGGTGGGTATTAGGTGGAAATTGCAAATTCAAACATAATCCAGATCTATCTTCTTTAGGGGTTGGTTGATAGTAAGCAGCACGTTTTTGTTTGTTGGTGTTTTTTTAGTTATCTGCTGGGGTTTGTTTTTTGTTTTGTTTTGTTTTTCCCTACTTCCTGAATGGCACTGTTATAAAACATTTGTTTCTTTTTTTTTCTTGATACTTAGATGAGTACAGGATCAAACCAGTGGAAGAAGTCAAATACATGAAAAATGGAGAAGATGATCAGAAAATAGCAGCCAGGAATCAAGAAAACTTGGTAAGGACTGAAATCATCACTCATTAAATGAAATAAACATGATCATGCTTTTGTAATATACAGTGTGCCATACATTCAAACTACAGCTTGCACATCTCAAGGGGATTCTCTTGAAAATGTCACTGCTATCTATATCACTTCTATATATTGCTTGAATGGTAGGTGCAAAATATTACTTTTTTCCTGCTTGTCTTTTTGAATTAGCTTGTAGTTGATCTGGGGGTAAGTGCTGCAGCACAAACAGTATTTGTATCCACACCTTTGCAAATAGGTATATGGGCAGGCCATAATAACTTTGTCCCTATCCAGAGGAGTTTTTTGTAAATTAGAAATGTATTGGTATTAAAGAAATCACTTCAGGTAGACATCATGATTTATTTTATACTTTTCTTCTATGAATTTTGTTATATGTAAAGTCAGGAAGCCTGGGAAAGAAAGAGTTATGTAATTTAATGCAAGTCACGTGGATCATTCATAAGTAATTTTGCACTAGGTTAAATATTTTCTGATTTTTATCCTTAAACCTGTATTCTACTTAAGATTTTATGTGTGTATAAAACTAAAATTAGAACCAACTAAAATTAGGTTTCCTCTTGTTCTGTCAGCATACCTCTTTAGGTTTTAGTGGAGCCATAATGGCTCCACTAAAACCTAAAGAAACTACGATCCACCAAAGTTGTTACTGTTGTTATTACTTCACTTCGGTTGATTCGGCATAGAAAACAGATGTTGGTGACTTGCTTCAGGCTGACTTGTCAGAAGTCTTTTTTCCTTTTTGAAAGCTCAAAATAACACTTTTTTGTGATCTAGTTAAATTGCTCAAAGAAGTTTTATAGTAATGTAATTTGCATAAGCTACATTGAATGTGTATAGTCCCATTTCTTCAGCTGAGCTTTTTTTTCAGGTAGATGCTTTTTTCTACCTGGAAAACTGAAGGGAGGATCCCAAGCTGAAGTTAATGGATTTGTGACCATTTATATTAGCTGTGGATTTGCCCCTCACCATAACTGGGTGGCTTTTGGGAACATCAGCCTCTTTTGTATTGCTTGTGGTGACAAACTGCAGAAGTGAACTACAGGCACCTCCACCTACAATATGTCCATTTGTCTGTCAGGCATATATTTTGGAGCTTGTAGTACAAGGTTGCAGATGCATTATGCTAGTAAATAGCACGGTTTGCTTTCTGATGGGAACCTGCAAGGTAACTTATATTCTGCTTGAAGGCCACAGAATAGCACAGAATATCATTTCTCTGTTGTCTCTACTCCAGACTACATATATATATATATAGATATATATAGATATATATAGATATATATAGATATCAGTGTGTGTGTGTGTGTGTATGTGTGTATATACACACACGGATATGGATATATGTACACACACGGATATAGATATATAATATCCATATCCATATATAACACATACATATACTCCAGAGATAGATAGATAGAGTTTGCAGTTTTGAATTGCTGATGCTCCCTTAAAGAGCACAACTTTTAGCGTGCAGCAAGATGTTGCTGAGAACATCACCTTTTCTAGCAGCGTCTGTGGTGTATTCGGCGTTATCATCAATGTAAGCATGTTTGTTTGCTTTTCAGCTACTTTTAGGTAGTTCTGCTGCAAGAATTATCTCTAGTTTGGGAGTTACTGGGTTTTTATTGGCAAATATAAGATGAGCACTGATATCTGGCTTTGATTGAATAAAATTGAAAGATTCAAGGGACTTTACTTCTAAACTGGATTCCAGCACTAAGCTAGCAAAACTCAAGAAAGCAGGATTTCATATGAATGACAATTGGGAAGAATTTGGAACAGCTTGAGTTACTTTTAAATGTCTAGGTCGTGTGTTGCATTTAAAAACTAGTCAGAGATATTTTAAACTTTGTTTAATGTGTTCTTGTTGCAATATCTATTTATTTTAATGAACATGCTTATTAAGAGAGATCTTTGAGGAAAGATGCTTTGGGGTGTGTATATTGTTTTGATGGTTGTTTTTGTGAGGGATGGCAGTTATTTTGAAAAATGAGTTTTAAATACAAGGGTGAGGGAGTGTTATTGCTTCTTACTTTATAGGAACCTCCAAAAGATGTTGGAGGTCTTTAATCAGAAAGGATGTTTTATACTTGAAAGACATTTTTAAAAAGAAAATAGAAAAAAAGTTTTCATATTCAAAAACAATCTTTTTAATTTTTTCCATCTTAGTTCCATTAAAGAAAGATGACATCTGTAAATGTACTCAGTTTGCTAATCCAGGAAATAGTCAAATCATTGACATTTTTGATTTCTAAAGGTTTTACTAAACTTCTTTCCCTGTAGTAAACATGTTAAATTCATAGTTTAGAAAATGGATTAAGACAACTATCAATCAGGCTTTAGTTCTCCTAATCCTTGTAATGTTGCCAGTAAATTACAAAATCCTGACTTTTCATCAGATATTTGTAGAGATCCGAAATTTTAGAAGCAAGAAAAGGTCATGGGGGCGATCATCAAGCTGTGGTGTTTCTTGTTTCTTAATCCCGCATTTGAGCTGTTTTGCTATGATTCCCAAATCCACCTCCTTCTCAAATGAAGGTGTGTAGCTTGAGCTCTGTTGTATTTTTCAGTTATCTTAGGTTACATAACTGAGTCTGTATTAATTCAATTTAAGTGATTCTGCTTTTGAGTTACCTATTGTCAGCTAGCATCTAATTTTTTTGGTGTCATAATAGTGTTAATTTTGGGAGTTGTCCTAGTTTATCAAGCTCTTTTACTTTTGAAAAGCATCTCGAGTTTCCCTTAAAATCTCCTACTTTGCCCTTCCTCCTCATTTAGTTGCTGTGAAATGCTACCTCTGTGTCCCATTGTGTTGTGATCTCCAGTCATAGAAAAGTAAAAGGCTGTCCAGGTGCATAAGAGGTGGTGCCAAACATTGACTGGTTCTGAGTTTATACCCTGAGCCTGTGGACCATCCCAGATGTTTATTTCTGATGATCAGGTCCGTGTTTCAGTTACAGTAACCGTAGCTAAAAAAGGAGAATCAGAGTAGAACAGATCCATGCCCTGACAGTTCTCTTGCAAGCAGTCTCATTAGTCAAGTGGGACTCAGAACTTCATTGGGGAACAAAATTTGACTGAAACAGACTTTCAGGGCACATATACTATTTCTGTGTGCCGACCACTATAAAATCATTGATGTAAAAGCAAAGTTATAAAAAAGCTTCAAAAGCTGACATAAGTTTATGCATTCAGGGGCATTAGGGGGAGGTTAAATTGATTCAAAATGGGTGCCGGACAGGTAAGTCAGGATGAGGGGCTAGCGGGTGGCGGGGCAGGCATCACCCATTGGTGGGGTGAGGTGGGGTTCCTCCCCCTCCCCCGCAAACACATTCCCATCCCTCCCACCCCTTCGCCCACAGGATTTACTTGCTTGGCTCCAGCAGCAGCAAATGCTGATAAAAGCAGCTGCACCTACAGTGGCTTGTGGGATGGGGCTTGAGAGGGCTTGCTGGTTAGGGGCGAGGGGCAGGGGAGGCAAACAAGGAGCTCATGGGGAGGAGAGGGGGCAAAAATAGCCCAGTGCGAGGGACGGGATGTGGGGGAGAGGGGTGAAAAGAGCAGCCCTGGGGCTGGGGCCGGGGCCAGTGGCTGGGTTTTCCCAGCCCCAGGGCTGCGCTTGGAACGTGTATAGAAGTTCCACGCATTGGTTTAACCTAAATTGAACAAGTTTGATGCTACATGGATCCAGGTTTATCTTAAATGGGGTTCTGCTGTTTTTAGACTGGTTTGCATGTAGGGAACTTCTGTACAGTTACAGGTTTAGACTGATTGTTGGTTACTGAGACTGGGTCTGTGAGTATAATGTCAGCACGGGGACAAGCTAAGTTTAAATTGGGCGGCCATTTTGAATCTGAATTGACCTCCACAAATTTCTGTACTTGGTGGAAATGGAAACCTTGTTTCAGGCAAAGCCTGAGCCTTATGGGACTAATGGAGAGTTCACTTATCTAATAGATTTGAAGCAATCCTAACGTTTTATTAAAACCAGTTGAGATTTGTTTTATTGTCCATTTCTCTTTTGTGGATGTCACCCTAATTCACCTTCTTACCGTGATCATCCCTGCAGTCTCATCTCCCCTAACATGCACTGCAAATGTTATGTACCTCCTTTCTCAGCTGCATTGTCCTTGCAGACCCCATTTCATGTCACTGTCTCATAGGCCTGTAGTTACTGTCTTTGGATACTTCTGATTTACAGATCTACCTCACAATTCCTGATCAGTCATCTTCAATCCTGCATCTTGATCTCTCTCGTTGACATCTTCCCATATGTTCCTTGCTATTATATTAAACTTAATCTGGCTAAACTTGAAATCCTCACTTTTCCTAAACCTTCCTCACCCACCTTCATTTTTGTTACCGTTTATAACACTACCAACCTTTCCCATCACTCAGGCCTGTAACCCAGAGGTTGTGTTAGATTCCTGTCTCTTCCTTTTCCCAGACAACCTGGCTGTATATCTCCTCCATAACAGAAAATGAGACCTGCTGTACTTAGTGGGAGAATCTTGAGGTAGGTGCTCCGTTAACCAAACCTCCTCAAACCGCAGTACATTTGTAACCTACTGAAAAGGGTGAGCTGTGCAGGATTCCTATATGCACTTTGAATCTAGCAATGTGAGAGTGAGTGGTGGAAGTGAATTCTTACTGAGAATTTGTCCATGAACCCACTGCTAGGATATGGGCCTGATTCTTACTGTGAAGATGCAGTTTATGCATAACTTTGTGTAAGTATAGGTACACATACTAGCCAGCTAAGCCCCTAAAGTGACTGTTTGTACATTAAGGCATTTGATTTGTCCATATATGCAATTGAGCTGTGCTAGAAGTTTGCACCAAACTTAAAATCTGGCCAATAATGTCATTTACCTGTCACTGAATGAATTAATTAGTCTTTTATAAGCTCAGTTAATTCACTCGCCTGTTAAATTCGTTTGTGAATTATTCATTTATTAAAT